TATCATCATTTATAGCAGCAAGTACAGAGTTCATAATTTGATGCAAGTTATTTACAGAATTTGAAAATGATAGCCATTGAGTGAAGTGATGGTAGCATGGTGGAAATTCTATTTTTCGTGCAACATAATTATTTATATTGTTTAAAGTAGAATTACAATAGTGTAACCAAATGCCAGGGTAAAGTGTAATAATGAATGTGTATTCAAATTTTGCACATAAATGCCTTCATATATTCTAAGTCTAGATCAGAAAAGATCAGAAATTCCATTGACATTTTATTAGTAAACTTTTTGGTGTGAATATGGGAAGGAAACGAAGCAATTTTGGACCTTGTGAAATTTGTAATTTTAGCAATTATGAAAACACTACCTTCTGGAAGTTAAATGAAGATTCCTCGAAAAGTTTTGTCTAATAACAAAGAGAACTTATGTGTTTTAGAAATAGGTTCACAGTTATGCCATAAATGTTACAATGATCTTGTAGTATATGATAGGAATGATAAGAATAATAAGAATAATGATGATGAAAATTTTTGTTTAAAATTACCATTACATGAAAAAAAAAGAAAATTTATTTTACATGAAGCTGAATATAATGAATTAATAAATAAATCATCAGAAAATATTCAACTTAAGGCAAATATTCAATTTATACAAAATGAATTAGACCAATTAAAAGAAAATTTTGATGAATTATTTTTAATATCAGGCAAATAATTTATATTTTAAATATAATATAAAAGCATCAAAAAATTTTACATTTTATATATATGTTTATTATACTTATTTTAATATTACTGTTTATTTATTTTTAGAAGAAACAAATTTTTGTAAATATTTTACAAAAGAAATAGAAATTTTAACAAAAATTTTATATGATGCTCAACATAAGGAAAAAATAAATCCAATCTATAATGTAAACAATTTTATGGAATATGTGAGTAATAAACATCCTGGATTTGTTCATTTTTTTAATACATTAGTTCAATCAACAAATATTAAAAATAAAAATCAAAAAACAATTGAAAGTATTAAAAAAAAAATTATGGTATTAATTTACCAGTTAGTAAGTATTAGAAATAAACATTGTACTTATTTTAAAGATGATATGGGATTGTTTTTAGTCGGAACTGGCACATCATGTTCTGGAATTAACATGCTATCAAATGTTGGCTTATCAACTACTTATCGTTCATTAATTAACAAAATGAATAAAATAGAAAAAGATCATGCTTTGAGTGTACTAGAATATTTAAAAAAAAAGGTAAATAATTTTATTTATATTTTATAATATTTTATAATATATATATTAAAATTAAAATTAAAAATTTTTTTTTTAGAAAATTAATACCTTTATTTTAAATATAGATGACTATCATGACATACACCAATCAAGAATGCCAAACACTACTTCAACTTCACAAGTTGCACATATGATGACTATGACAATAAATACTCCAAATATCCCTTCAATTTATTACTTATCTCCATCTGGATTCAAAGTACATAATCCAAATCTTGTAGACTCTAATAGTTTAATATATTATTTATATAATACATATATGAACAAATTTAGTGTTAGTTATATAAATAGAAAATCATTTTGGTCAGTTCCAGAAATGACTCTCTTACCTGAAAAAGAATTAATAAACACATTATCAATTCACTCATACAATACCAACTGGATTCAAGAAGATATGTATAATATACGTACAATGGATTGTGTTAAGTTGATTGAATTTCAAGAGTTGAATCTTAAATCACTGGATGATTATTTAAAAGCAGCAAATTTTTTATTTCAATTTTCTGAAATTCAAGATTATATTCAAACAAATATAATCCCAATATCAGCTGACTGGCCTGGCCAGTTATATATTCGTAGTGCAATTTATACATGTCATCAAAATTAAAAGTTGTGTGATGCAATTAGTTTAGTGTGAGACGCATTGACGCAGACACAAGATGCAGATGCAATTCATGATGTAAGACAAGACGCAATCATGATGCAAGACTCGTGAGTGATATAGTGATGTTTTCAAATCTTGCAAAAATGATAAAAATTACATTATTTATTTATTTGCAATAATTCTATATATTAATTTAAAGTATAAACCTTTTTTTTTTGAGTTATCCACGATTTTCTACTTCACAACTTTAAAAGGTTATGGTCTAATTGAAAAACTTTTGTATGTATTATATTCATTATATAAAATATCCATAATTATAAGCAAATTAATATTTTTATTATATGAAGTTTTGTGCAATTCACAAAAATTTCAAACATGATAAAAAAAAATACTATCATTTTTATATTTAATCAATTTCATTATTTAAAATATCATCCACTATTATTTTTGTATTTGTGTGGATCAGAATGAATAGGTTATCAATGAATTGATTTTGTTATTAGCGAATAATTTTGGTAAAGAAGATAATAGTTTTAAATAAAGATATTTATTTTATTTATTTAGTCTTCTTAATAAAAATTAAGAATTTGGAATTGGTTAAATTTGGCCAAAAGAGCCTCCAAATCTAATTCCGGTAAACCATTTTTTGCAATCAAGGTTTCCAAATGCGTATTTTTTTTTTTACGTAAGATAATGGATTGTGTCTTGCATGACGAATTTCGTTTTGTGTCGCAAATTGCGTCTTGCATCACGAGTTGTGTCTTGTGTCAATGCGTCAAATTTATGATTGGTGATGCAATGTTCAATTTTCTAGATTTTTAATTGCGTCTGATGCAATTTAATAATTTGACCACATGTATAGTGCAATTACTCAAAAAATTTTAAAGTTAAATAATAATATTCCTGATCAAATAACTAAGTTAGTTCCTTTAATTGGTCCTCTACACATCTCACTAAACACACGTGAAACAACATATAAAATTTTTTATCCTTTTTTTAATAAGCTCTATTTGTATGTTTTTAAGGCTAAAAAAGATCTTGGAGAAAGAATATTTCCATGGAAAATTAATTTACTTCTATATCTAAGTTATGGTGGTTGGAAGTTAGTTAGGCAAGAAATCTTAAAAAAATTTAAACTATGTAAAGATATTGAATATGCAACTAGTATTGACTTGTTAGATAATATCATTCCCTCTGTGTTGGATATTTATGGAGTTTTATTTTGAGGAGGATTTTTTGATGAATATATTGAAACTTTATTTCGTGTATGGACTTTTATGGCAAGATTTAAAAGAAAAAATTATGATAAGGCTATTTTGGCTTTTCTAAGTGATATTTTTTACTGGAATCAAATTAATCATCCAATTTACAATTTTATTAGGCAATACTTATCACTATTTCATGATAGTTATGTAGAAAATTTTCACTCTTTATTACGTAGATACACATCTGATAAAGGTTTTGATCCAAAAAGATTAAGGTGTGATGCTTTAGTTATAGATACTGAAAAACATAATAATAATTTTTTAAATGCATTTGTTGAAAAAAAAAAATATCCTTATTCAAAAAAAATATAGATTGTATGCTAGAAAGATCAGCTATATTTTTATTACAATACTTTGAATCAATTTGTAGAGCTCCGAAACGGGTCGGGTCGACCCGAACGAGTCGGGTCGGGTCATGATTTAATTGACCCGGGTTTGACCCGGGTCAACATCATGTTATAATTGCCT